ACTCGTTGACATCACTGCATCGCCGGATGACCGGAAGAGAATGTTTTGTCGGACAAGAAGCGGCCACTCCTGTCTCTTATACACATCTAGATGTGTATAAGAGACAGGCTGAAGGCTCAGTGCGAATCGTACAAGGAGGACTTCAAGCACGAGCGCCGCGATCGAGAGCTTATGGCATCCCGAAGCAAGGCGTCCAACGAACCGAAGATCAGGTCCATCATCAGGCAGCTCCAGTAGTAAGAAAAGAGAGAGTTCCCGGCCACCCTATTCTAATACACTGTAAATGCTATATTCATTTTAAAAATGACGTCACGCGACCATGGCCGGGAAATTCTCAATATAATACATCATTTTGCAAAACGACCTATCAAATGACGTCATCGGGGTCAAATGATATTTAATGACGTCATTTCCAAATCATGTCGTGAGGAGCCCGCCCACCCCCTATTCTAATACACTGTAAATGCTAACCCCTATTCTATTACACTACGCAGTGTAATAGAATAGGCGGCCGAGCTTTTAATACACTGTAAATGCTATGTGTAGTGTAAAAGAATAGGCGGTCCAGCTTTTCCTTACAACCAAAATGACTCAATTGACCCCGATGACGTCATCATGAAAGGTCATTTCCGTGACCCCGATGACGTCATCACGAAAGGTCATTTCCGTGACCCCGATGACGTAATCAAAACTCTTTTCAGTCACGTGACCCCGATGACGTCATGCCGAAATGACCTTTCGGCAATCGGTCGCGTGATCTAGTCGGAAACTTGCGCAATCCTGTAATTTCCGTGCGCGTAGGAAGTGATTCCATCGTCGAGTATATACATCTTGGTGTCTAACGGGCATAGCGACTTCGAAGCAGCAAATGCTTGCTGCTTCGAATCGAGGTCATGTCGCAATACATGTCCTCTCTACTCGTCAACACGCGCACGTAATCGTCGTGTCTTAGATGACTCCTTACGACGTATTTGGCGACCCCCTTTGCCCGCTTGACGTCCAGCCTCGGATCTTTCGTCCTGAATGAATACATTTTCGGTTTGAGTGCGACAAATTCCGCCATGACGGTTCCGCCCAATTCGTCCTTCATCTTTCCCGGAACCTTTTTATTTTTCTCGCTGTACAGGCGAGAGCCCTTGTCGTAGTTGCTCGTGTCGAACCAATCTAAATTTTCCCGCATGTCGGCGTAGACATCCTCGGTGGTGATTCTCATCAACAGGCTATCAGTGTCTGTGTACAAGAGCTTGACGCGATCGCCGTACATGAGTTTGAGCTTGTCGTAGTAAAACTCGTACATTACAAGCTTGCTCAGATCCAAGACGGCCGCACCGCAATAGATTGGTTTGTTGAGCACGACCCGCGTCTTGTTCATGTGGATGGCTACGAGGTCATCGTTGATTACGACGTGTCTGTTAAAGTTTGGTTTCGCCGAGAGCTTGTCTATTTTTTTAGTTTCGCTGGTTTTACACAAGATGACATTTTGCCTGTTGCGTACATTTTCCATAGTCTTGCCGAAAACGGAATTGTTCATCAGCTTGAAAAAGTCCTTTTCAAAGTCGGTTTTTGCAGCCTTTCTGAGCTCGGTATTCATGTCGATGTACTCTTTCATCCACGCTCTCTGCGTAAACTCGATGATGCGATGAACCTTGGTCAGCACGAGACCCTTGGCGAGATAAAACTGCAAGTTTCTATAGTGCAGGACGTATTTGGTCTTGGACATCAGGGTCGGTACTAGTTTCTCAACCTTCGGATTATCGTCGCCCAGCAGGTTGAGCTGGTAGGGGCTCATCCACTCGCGACGGGGCGCGAGCATCTCGGGTGCCAGGGGGTAATCGTTAAACAGATCGTGCAGTTCTTTCGGAACCTCCAAGTCCACCTCGAGAAAGTAGCCCTTGTCGCCGTCGGCCTTTGCCTCGAGGACCTTTTCGTACTCGTCCGGATCGATCCACCTAAAGTCCGACACCGGCAACGGCTGTCTCATGGCCCACCCGTACAGATTGTTGGCGTCGAGATATAGTCCGTACGTGCTGGGTTTCGTCTCGTCGTGGTCGTCCATGTACTTGTTGTTAAACTTGCAGTGTCGATGGGAAACCATGGTGAGACCGCCTCTGATCCCCTTTTCGATCATCAAGTGCATGTCCAAGTCTGTCAACAGCTCGAGCGTCACCCCGGTCTTGTGGAGCAGCACGTCCCAACCGAAACCCGGTAGCGTGAAATAGTTGCACGGGCCCAATCCGTACTCTCGATACACCGACGACCTAAAGTTTTGGAACACGTCGGCCAACAGCAAAACGTCCGTCTTGAGGTAGTGGTCGTGATAATCGCCCAAGTTTTTACATTTAAAATGCTCGTAAACCCTCGCGGCATGCTCGTAGTCGGCGTCGCTTATGCCCTCGTCACGCAGGCTGCTGTAAAAGAGCTCCTTACTGGGTAAACCTTCCTCTCGAAACTTGTCAAACGAATCCATGTATTCGTACGGATACACGCCCTTTCTCGTGAGCAGTTCCAAATCGCCCTCACCGTCGAAAAATGTCTTGGTAAGCTTAAACTTGTCGATCGGCAACTTGCTCACCAGCGTCGACAACGAAGCGTTTAGAAATTTCATCGAATCGATGAATCTCAGGTTCCCCGAGCTAAAGGAAATGTACTTTTCCGTATTGCTCGGAATGCATTCAATCTTACCCGGCATCTGTCCGAGGGCCTGCATGATTAGATGACCGTCGTACCCGGCAAGATTGTGGAATATCACGGGTATGGGCGTATTCTCGTGTAACCGTAACTTGAGATTGCAACCCGCGTGAGCCGCTCCACGATACGTGTCGGTGACGTGACAGTGATCTCGCACCTTTTGCCCATTCTTGTTTACCGAGCACTCGTAGCACGTCTTGTATTTGTTGTCGGGGTTGTTCTTGACCACGTAGCATTTCCGACAGTCGTCATCCCCGCCATATTCCGTAAAACCGCCTCGCTCGCAGATCCAACAGGTCGTTGCGGCTTCAAAGCTCGCTTCGTCCTCGTCCGTCATCACGCTGCGGGGGTCGACGGGTTTTCGCTTGAAAATGTCGACAATTTTATCCTTTTCGATGACGAGTCGATCCAAAAAGGATTTTACGCACGCGCTCGCATCGTCGACATTGGCGCTGCGCAATCCGTGTCCGACCGCTTGGCCGTCGTACCTTACCACCACGTACGACCAACCGCACGGCACGTGCTTGGCGTCTCTAAACGTTTTCGGGTCAGACTCGTCTGACGGCATCTTTTCCAAGATGCACTCGAAATCCGCATAGATTACAAACGGCGTCATGGCCCTGTGCTGAAGGTTTTTAAATATCAACAAGTTGCCATTTTCATCGACGAGTTGCACCGCCGTTTTACCGTCGTTTATGCCCCTGCAATCGGGCTCGTGTTTTAACAAACGTTCTTCCGTACTAAAAACGTGTAAGCATCGACAGCAAAAATGCTTTTTCCCCTTGTGCTTGCTGAAAGCGGTGAGAAGCGGGCTCATCTTTTTAATCCACATGTAGTGTTTATCGTACAGCAAGAGATTAATCAACGTACGATCCACGTGGTCGCCGCCAAAGTATAGTGGATGTAGATACCCTTTACCCTCTTCTGCCCAGCCGTAAACGTTAATCTTGAGCCGAGGATTATTCTTTTCGATGATTTTAATCTGTTTGACCGACATGGGGAACGTTATGCCGCTCCAGTCGAGCTCGTCCAGATGTTGAGCGTAACTCGAGGGTCGATCGGTATGACCCTTGACGGGGTGAAGCGCGCTGGTAACGGCGTATTTGATGCACGAGTCGTCTTTGTTTTTAACGTTGACGATTGCCTTTTTATTTTTCAGCACGTTGGGTAACGGAGCGTACGCACCACCGCGTAAGGGGTTGAACCTGGAGATCTCTATATCTAGATGCACGAGATGATTTATGCGCCAATTCGAACCGTTTTCGGTCCATAGCCCAATCGCCGTGAGTATGGGATTTACGTCCCTTTCCAAATCTAATTCATCGAAAACTCTATATCTACCCGAGTGAAAGGCGGGTACGGCCACGTCTACATCTCGCTCCATATTTACGGTCAAAACGAGTCGAAATCTGATTGCTTTGAAACGATGATTTTGTAAAATTTCCTCGATGCGATCCCTATATTGCAAGATTTCTTCCGGGTCGTCAAAACGCCTTAGGTCTATCCGATGTGTCTCAAAACTATTACTCGCGTGAATAATACGAAATCCGGGTTGATCGTTTGGGGTTCCAAATCACGTTCTGCCCTCTGCTGCATTTCTCCACTCGGATTTGCAACTTGTTGTCTCTGCTCGCGTTTTTCGCGTTTCTCACGTCGCCTCTGCTCGTCTTCCCGGTCCTCGAGTTCCCACTGCTGCTTGCGTTTCTCACGTCGCCTCTGCTCGTCTTCCCGGTCCTCGAGTTCCCACTGCCGCTTGCGTTTTTCGCGTTCCTCGCGTCGCCTCTGCTCGTCTTCCCGGTCCTCGAGTTCCCACTGCCGCTTGCGTTTTTCGCGTTCCTCGCGTCGCCTCTGCTCGTATTCCCAGTCCTCGAGTTCCCACTGCTGCCTGCGTTTTTCGCGTTGCCTCCGCTCGCGTTGCCGCTGCTCGCGTTCCTCGCGTTGCCTCCGCTCGCGTTGCCTCCGCTCGCGTTCCTCGCGTTCCTCGCGCCTTCTCTGCTCGCGTTCCTCGCGCCTTCTCTGCTCCTCGTGCCTTCTCTGCCGCTCGCGTTGCCTCCGCTCGAGTTCCTCGCGTTCCTCGCGCCTTCTCTGCTCGCGTTCCTCGCGCCTTCTCTGCTCCTCGTGCCTTCTCTGCCGCTCGCGTTGCCTCCGCTCGAGTTGCCTCCGCTCGCGGTGCTCGTAACCGTCTCGGCGGTCGTAACCGCCTCGGCGGTCGTATCTATCATGTTCTCTAAGGTCGTAACCGTCTCGGCGGTTGTAACCGTCTCGGCGGTCGTATCTATCACGTTCTCTAAGGTTGTAACCGTCTCGGCGGTCGTATCTATCACGGTATCTAAGGTTGTAATGTCTCATTTTAGTTAATAGCCTAGTCCCTTAAGTCAAAATTCAAAATTACGTCGATAGAGGGCGTACGTCAGATTACAAAATACAAACGTATTTTACAATTTACCGAGCCGCGCACTTTTTACACACGCCGTCGATCGTAACCTTGCATCCCACGCCGCACACGTAACACGGGGATATCTTGCTACCGTGCTTTATCCTATACATGTGGTAGGCGCAGTACCCCTTGAGGTGATCGGGCAGCGAGTCTTGTTCTCGACGGATATTCCTGCGACACATTTGCGTCGAACCATCTTGAGATAACGGCAGCCGTCTTCGCCCTCGGGGCGTCGACCGGGCGATTGACGTTGCAAGAGTATCGCGTTGCTCACAACTTGTCCGCCGCATCTATAGCAGATATTGTGCAGTAAAGTCTTGCAACCCCTACCGCATCTTTCGCACGAAACCGTACCACCACCTCGCACGATTCTAAACTTGTGACCGCGGCAATATCCGCGTAGATGCTCGGGTAGCGAGTCTTGATGCTTCAACGCCGCTTTTCCGCACGTTTCGGTAGAACCCATCCTGATCCAACGACAAGTATTTTGCGTCATTTTATTACAACGCGTTGTTCCCTTAACCCACTTTCACTCGGGTGGTAATTGCGTGTCGAAGGGAACGACCAACAATTCTTCTCGTACAAAACTCCTCGGTACGCCTCGTAAAAAATACAAGACGGGTTGTTGAGGTTTGATCATGACGTTTCGCACGTCGTACGTGTCGATGCTCCATATCGGATCGGTAGCTCTGCGTCTTTCGCCCCCTTCCAATTCTCCGGGTCTGTACAGGTATCGTACGCGCAGGCTCGAATCCAAGACGCGCTCGTCCAATCCGACGGGTCGATCGTACTTGGGCTCGTACTTGATTTCGTCTCGCCTGCGCACGGCCTCGTCGGGGCCTTGAGCGTTTAATTCTTTCAAAACGGGTTTCAGATTTTCCACCCATTCCGCGTTGCGTTTCGTCGGATCCAACATTTCCCGAGCATACTGGTGCGGAAACAGTTTGACGGCAAGAGTCTTGTTGAACCTTTCGACGATTCCTTGAGATTTGTGATTACCGGGGTCTCCCACGCTCACGCGTACATTGTGCTCTTTCATCGCTTTTAACGTTTCACCTTTAAATTCGCCGCCCGAATCGACCTGCAGCGTTTCGGGCCACGTCAACTTGCGAGCGTAAATCTTGGTAAAGGCTCGCAGGACCTCTGCCGATTGTTTGGTCGACAACGGTTCCGCTTCCTTGTATCTGCTCGCCACGTCGACGACCGTCAGGGCGTACTTGTACGTTTTTCCCCCGTACCTATCGTGAGGTAAAAAGAGCAGGTCGGCCTGATGGACTTGGTTCACCGAGACGCTTTGCCTCGTCGGTACGCTCGGTACGTGTTTAGGCAGCGGTAGATAAATTTGCCACATGCTCTGCTTAAACAGCCACTCTTTAACGACGTCTCGCGGTATCCTCGTCTTGCCGGCGAGTCGATCGATGGCCCCCTCGCCCTGCCATAAATGTTGAGGAGCGTAGTATGCACGTTCGAGTTGCCGTATTTCGCGGTTTGTGCTCATATTTATAAATATCGAAACACTTTATAAATATTTTACGGCCGCAAACGCGAGTACGCCCAATACGACGATCAATCCTACCAGCTCCGCATCTTGCTGCGATTCGCTGGGTGCGTAAAAGTCGGACAGCTGCGGTTCTCGCTCGAGTTGCAGGCGATCGGACGATCCGCCCAATCTATAGTATTCTCTCATCGCAGTTTCAACGTCCGAAAAGGTTCCTCGGGCGTGCTGCTCGCGTCCAATTTTTTCGTTGATGTAATCGAGTTGCGAGGCTCGTTTTTTGCTCCACGAATCTCGAGCCTGAGACAATTGTTCCAAGGCCAGATCGTGCCGTTTGCGTTCCGCGTCGCCGCCGCTCATGCGACTGAATAAAAAGTTGCTTCCGCTAAAAGCTAGGGCGTTTACCATCGCACCACCGACCATCATTGCCACGGTTGCCATTTTACTATCGCGGTAATTATTTTATAATCTTGTCGGGAATGTAGCCGTTTGCCACCAGCATGTCCTTGGTCAGCGTCAAAGCTGCAATCAGACCCGCGAGCTTTGCCGTGTCGACGACCGTCAGCTTGTCTACGAGCGGTGCTTTGCTTCCCACCACCTTTTTCAGTATCATCACGTAACCGACCGTCAACGTGGACACGATCGCTCCGTCGTACAGGCTGTTTACAATTACGTTTGTATCGATGCCACTCATGCCTTTTTTTAAGCGAGAGAGATTTTAAATTACATTTCAAACGGATCCGGCTTGACCGGCTTGGGCGGCTTTGCTACCGGAGATGGCGGCGGCGTCGACCTGATCGACTTGACAGGTGGTGCCGTTGTCGGCTTGGTGGATGCGACGTAGACTAGATACCCCAACGCGGCGAGCGTCAGATACGGAATGCAACTCGAAAACGACACGCGCGATATCTCCGAGGCTTGACGTCGTTTCTCGGCGATTGCCTTTCCGGCCGCAACTCGCTTGGGATTCTTGCTCGTGACTTGGGTAATTGTTTCGTCCATTTTATTAAAATGTCGCCAATTTTTTTTACTCGGTAATTACTCGAGCGGGTCGGTAATCGCAGGCTCCGCAGACGGCGTGGATTGGGACGCCACCTTCGGCGTGGATTTCTCGGGCTCCGGCGGCGCGGTTGAAACCTCGTGAGACTCGTCGCACTGGCGTTTGTATTTCACGTGTCTTGCCGTGTGCATCGCGACCGAAAGCGGTGCGAGCCACGCTCCAAATTTGTAATAGAGCTCGCACGCGACGGGATTCAACGCTTCCATCAGGAACCGATCGTTTTCGAGATCGTCGCCGAGTTGCTCGGCCGAATCGATCGGGAGTACGTAACCGATAGTCTTGCTGTACATGCGAATCACGCTACTGCCGAGCGATTTCGTCACGTCGCTACCCTTTTTGGATTCTAGCATCGCGTACAACTTGGAAATTTCGGCCTCGGGCATGCGATCGATTTGCTCCGCAGAGTATTCCCGTCCAAAGTAGTATTGAGCGTTACCTCCGCTCACGACGGTCTTTATTCGACCTTTGAGCTCGTCGGAAACGTCTCGAGCTTGCTCGGGCGTAAGAGATGGCTCGGCCGCCTCGACCTTCTTTTTGGGTCTGCGCTTTTTCTTTGCGGGGGCGGCGCCGCCCGCGGTGGTCTCGGACTCCTTTTCTGCGAGCGCTTGCATCTCGTGCGTTATGTCGGTCATTTTAATAATCGCAAAATATATTTTATCCGATGTGAATTCCCCAACGGGTGGGTCTGTCGCATTTCAACAGCAACTTGCTAAAACACGTCGTGTCGATCTTGTCTTTGATGCGTTTCTTGTCGTCTGCATCTTTTATCACGTCATTCTCTCGCAGGCAATCGTAAAAACTGTCTCTGTCTTTGCAGAAAAAGAGCGCGATCCATCGAACCTGCTCTCTGAAATCTTTGAGGACGGAATTGTACTTTTGGGTGAGAATCCATACGGATTTCTTGTGATGACGGCCCGAAAAGGCTAACGTCGACAGCGTCTGCTGCTTTCTCTTCATGTCCT